CGTTCGCGTGTAATCTCTGTCTAATGTCACGAAAATGCCACGGATTCGCGTTCGAACCGATTAACTCATATTGCAAATCACGAGGACGGTAGAAATAAGCAGCAGCAGGTTGTTCCGACAATGTACGTAGGGCCAAGGCCGACACTTTTACATTTGGGTGTAACTTTCTCCGATAATCCGTATCGATCGCTTTTTCGCAACGGTGGATTATTGAAAAAAAGAAAAAGTTGACGAAAGAGATCAAATCCCCCGCATTCGGAGCTCAAGGTGTCAAGTTTCGTCCCTGATTCGTCCTTATGAAAAATAAAAAAATCCCTTTTCCGTCGATGCCGGAGAGAAGACGCGCGCTCGCCTCAGCGGCGAGTCGTCCAAGTGACGAATCGGAAAAGGTTAATTAGACCCTTAACGCGCAGCTTGGACGAAGCACGGTCCACGAAGCGTGCTCGGCCGCGTCGCGGGATCGCTCGCTCGTTGACGCGCGCGCTGCTAACTCGCGCGCTGACCAACGAGGGGGAGACTGTTCTAACGGAATGGAGAGGACGCGCGTCAGCATCTGATCGAGCGATACAAATTAAAGCGCGGTCCTGCCTGTGGTAACGTGTGTGTAGATGCACACCGTCGCTGCCGCCGCCGCCGCCGCCGCCGCCGCCGCCGCCGCCGCCGCCGCTGCCGCCGCGGGAGCGTGCAGATTGTAGTTTGTCGTCCGTCGTCGCTCGCGGCTACGACTTCGTGTTACTGGGATAAAAGGTGAACGACTCGTTGCTACTTGGTGCTCGTCCCACCAGCAGCATCCCGCTCATCGTTTGGAGGGGTAGCGCGTCCTTCTGCTATGCCCGAGCGCGATGGAGACTTGCGGGACGAGAGGAAAAGAGGAAGAGAGAAAGAGAGAGAAGGGGAGGCAACGAGAGAGGTAGCGAGAAAGAAGCAGATGGAAGGAGATCGAGAAAAGAAGAGAGAGAGAGAGGGGCAGAGAAAGAGAGAGGGAGAGAGAGAGAGAGAGAGAGAGAGAGGGAGAGGGAGAGAGAGAGGGAGAGAGAGAGAGAGACTGATACGACGATCATAAATTACTCGATCATCCTCAAGGATCGATTCGCCAGCTGCGACGTGCGTCTTTTCGTCGTCGTTGCAGCGCCGACGTCATCGACAGCGAGCCCACTTTTCAGGGGGAGCACCGGCTTGCCGAGAGGCGAGCACTTCCTCCTTCGCGGAGCTTTTTCGTCCTGGTCGCACGTGGAACCATCCTCTACGTCGAGTCTACTCGAACGTGGTCAAATCGTTTAAATACTGAAACATTGAAATAAATACGGAAGCTTTGCGGTACCGTCACGAAGCAAACGAATTTTTCGTCAGCAAGGAAAGTCAGAGTTAAAGGAGCATTGAACAGCTCAAAGAGCTCATCGTCATCCGGCCGCGGAGTCGTCGAAATCGTAGCTTTCAGCTACCCTCTCGAGCGGCTTGTTTCGCGCGAGTTGTACGCGACGACTCTTAATGTCCGCGATTGCGAACTTCACGCAGGCTTCACGTTGATAGACGTCTAAAAGTATTAATAGGTTGTACGAACAAGATAATCATAGCCTCCTTACGTTGCCATCTCGTTGTGTGCGCGGGCCGCGCGCATCACCGGCCATGTTACCGGGAATCGCGCAAAGTTGTCTATTAATACGCCGACGTGCGCAGCGCGTCACATTGTTGTTCTCACACGTATCATCGTCGCCGCAAATAGGAAGATACGTCAAGTCGGGTAGCGTGTGTGTGATTAGATAATCCCGTAGAGAGACGCGATTAACGATCTGTCGATCGCGTAAAACTTTCCGCGAGCATGATCGACGCTCGTGGCGTCGTGCAAATATCATCCGACGCTTCTCCTCCTCCTCCTCCTCCTCCTCCTCCTCGTCGTTCCGCTGTGTCGAGGCGCTCGATGCACGTATGCGCACCTCCATTAATTGTTTTCGCAACCTGACCCGACCGATCGGTTTGCTCGAGAGCGTCGTTTGCTCGCGCGCGGAGACGTTACGAGAATAATATCGGCCATCTCGAGTTTACGATGGGAACGACGTCGGTGGCCGGCCGGACTCTTGCGGCAATTCGGACTCCCTTTTTTCCCCCGTCCCTTCCCTTCCTCTCTCTCTCTCTCTCTCTCTCTCTCTCTCTCTCCTCTCTCTTTCTCTCTGTGCGACCATACGTCGCCGTAATGTACAGCGGCGGTTGTGCAAGGTATGAACGGATGGACGGACGAACGAATGAACGAGCGACCTACCTACCTACCTACCTACCTACCAACCTACCTATCTATTTATCGAGGTTTGCGCAACCGAGGCCGCTTCGAAACACTGTCTCGATGTGGATCTGCTTCTTCTTCTTCTTCTTCTTCTTCTTCTTCTTCTTCTTCTTCTTCTTCTTCTTTCTCTCGCATACCGGTCCGCGCAACCTCTGTGAATTCGGTGGTGCCGGTGTCAATCCATCCGGTTGACTGCTTCGACACCCTGCTCGTCGTCCGTGTCGTTGACTCGCGGTACCTTTCTAGCTGTCTGTCGTCGGTTTTCGTGAAACACGGCTAATCTGCTGTCCCTTTGCCGTAGAACGCGCGTTCTACCCTTCCCTTGCCACTTGCCTCTGTTCGCGACATATGTAATAATAAATCTGCCGCGTCCCGACGGCAGATTTTAACGAAACGCGCTTCCTGATCGTTCAGACTTCGTCGACCTTTTCACATAGGCGAGTAGCCTACTTGATTGCGGCTCGAGCGGCAAGCTCTCTTCTTACGTCGCACTTGTCCGCCTTTCGCTCTCTTATCGCTCTCTTATCGGGATGAGAATTTGTCAAGAGGCCCGACAAACGAGTCCCACAAATATGCGCGAGGTCTGCGAGTCGCTTTCTAAAGCGACGCGTTTTCACGGCGGCCGGCAATTCCCCCCGCCCCGCTCGAGAGAGAAAACCAGTCTTTCACGGACGCGGCTCTAATCAGGAAACGCGGCACCTTATCAGCGCGCAACGGCTCAGCCATCTCGGAGCCGTCGCAGTTGAGGCACACGGCGATCTTAATCGCGCCGCGCGCCGGCGCTGCTATGATCCTAGGTCGCCGAAGGACTCGGAAGTCCAGACACGCGTGGTGCCGTCGTCACGGTGCGAGCCGTGTCACGAGTTGCTCCACTAGTGGAGCTGGGAAAAAGTGAAAGACACTATGAGAGAGGAGGATGCGAAAGAAACGGGCCGAAGAATCGGCAAGGAGAGGCGGGGCGGGCGTCTTGGTCGGAGGGAGGGAGGGAGAGAGATCGAGCGAGAGGCAACGAGGAAGAGAAGAGACGACGCGAAGAGGGTGACGTTGGTGGAAAGGTGCGAAGGCGAGGGAGGACAGGAGGTACCGCCGCGGATAGAGAGGAAGAAAGAGGTAGGGAATATATAAAGACAGAGGCAGGCAGAGAGAGAGAGAGAGAGAGAGAGAGAGAGAGAGAGAGAGAGAGAGAGAGAGAGAGAGAGAGAGAGAACGGGCAGCGAAGAGAAGTGCGAGAGCGCGAACAATTTAGAAGATGAGGAACGGAGAAAGAGCGAAGAGAGCAGAGGAGAGAAGGAGAAAGAAAGAGAGAGAGAGAGAGAGAGAGAGAGAGAGGGAGAGAGAGAGGGAGAGAGAGAAAAGCCAGAGACGCTCGCCCGAGTTGTCGAGGCGATTGTGCCGATGTGCGTGGCAAAGTTTTGCGTCGGGCTCTCCCTGACCTAACCACTCCGCCTCTCCCGACTCTCTCGAGTCGACTCGACCGTGGCACGGTCCGACTAGTCGGCTATTTCCTGAGGACTGTCTCATGCAATAGCATAATATTTGCATCGTAAATCGCGGATGCCGACGCGACCGCGGCCTCGGCGGAGATCCCGCGCGCGAATCCACCGAAAGGAACAGAACCCGGAGCCGGGAGAGAGAGAGAGAGAGAGAGAGAGAGAGAGAGAGAGAGAGAGAGAGAGGTCTCCGCGGGAATCCCGCCCGGGAGGAGGACTTCCGCGCTGTCGAT